GTATGCCACGTTTAAGCAAGGAATCCACACAAATCTTTGTAAATGGGACTCTGGACCTGCTGGTATTAGTTTTTTGCCAAATAACATTAGCTATGATGACTAAATGTTCCAAAAACCCAAACTATGTTTCAGTCTTCTCCAAAGGTCGTCTGTGATCTGTTACTAAGACTGCTCTGGTGGTTGAACAAAGTCCAGACACATCTCCTCGCTCTGATGCTGCCTGGAGTACAGAGACCTGTCCAAGATGGTGGCGACATGAGGTCCATCTGATTTATTTACTGTTAGTTAACCAGGCTTACCTGGTGCCAGTGATTGACAGCTCCCTGCATCGTTACAACTGATGTCTGGATTTGTTGGTTCTGATGGACCTCCTGCTGGTTCCGGTTTTCTGTCACTTCTCACAGATCTGACTTTGGTAAACGGGGTCCAGCATCCGGGTCCAAAAATATCCCACTTGGAGACCAAGCACAAAGCGGGTCGACAGTCGGTGCTGTTTGTCAGGAAACTGTGTCAGAACCAGAACCTCAGCCCGACTGACAGAGATGGATGGACCCTGTGTGTGGATCTATTTTCAGAATTCATTAATGCAGAACCTGGACAGCTGAAGAACCCATTTACTCCTCTTCCTCACCTCTCTGACAGCTGCTGGTCTCTGAACTGGATCAGAACCACAAGTTCTGCTGGTTGCAGAACCGTTCCTTCTAGGGTTAATATTGTACAGGTTTTCTGATAAAACATGGATCCACGTTCTGTCTGAGGTTCTGTCTGAGGTTCTGTCTGAGGTTCTGTCTGAGGTTCTGTCTGAGGTTCTGTTTATCTGTAGTTCTTAATTCTTCCTCTGTGTTGAATGTTTGAGGCAGCAGCAGAATCTGGGTCGACCCGTCTGCAGACAGAACCTCCTGAGGCCCGCTGTAAGATCCTGGGTTCTTGTTGAGTGGATGACTGATGGGACATGGTTCTGTTTGTGGTTCTGTCTGTGGTTCTGTTTGTGGTTCTGTTTGGGTCCAGTGTTTTACATTCTGGTTGTTCTGCAGGTTGATCAGTTTTTCTACAATAAATCAAAACATTTGATTAAATAAACACACACACACACACACACACACCTGAAGGTCCAGGATCCAGGAGTCTGCAGAGTCTGAGGACCAGCAGGACCCTGGCTCCTCCATGTGGACCAGGACAGAACTGCAGCTCAGAGTTCTGCTGGTGGATTCAAGTTTCAGCATCCAGGTGTTGTCCTCAGTGTGGGGACAGGTCCTCAGTGTGGGGACAGGTCCTCTGTGTGGGGACAGGTCCTCAGTGTGGGGACAGGTCCTCTGTGTGAAGACAGGTCCTCTGTGTGAAGACAGGTCCTCTGTGTGAAGACAGGTCCTCTGTGTGAAGACAGGTCCTCTGTGAAGACAGGTCCTCTGTGTGGGGACAGGTCCTCTGTGTGAAGACAGGTCCTCTGTGAAGACAGGTCCTCTGTGTGGGGACAGGTCCTCTGTGTGAAGACAGGTCCTCTGTGAAGACAGGTCCTCTGTGTGGGGACAGGTCCTCTGTGTGGGGACAGGTCCTCTGTGTGAAGACAGGTCCTCTGTGTGAAGACAGGTCCTCTGTGTGAAGACAGGTCCTCTGTGTGGGGACAGGTCCTCTGTGTGGGGACAGGTCCTCTGTGTGAAGACAGGTCCTCTGTGTGAA